ACAGCTATAATTAATTTTTATTTACCACTTCTTGTTTTAATATCATTAAATGCTCGTATTTATTATGAAATAAAACGACGTTATAAAAGTATTCTTTTACAACGACATTCAAATCAAATAAATGAATCATCAAGTAATCATAAATTAAATCCATCAACACGATATACTCGTACACCAATAACAATGACGATATGTGATAGTGAAAAACAATTATGTTCAACACCAATAAATTTAACAGAAAATGATAGTTTAATTACATCAAAACGTTCACCTATTAAAAATGAAAATAATTCAACATTACGTATTAATTTTAAAGAGAAAAAAAATCATCGATCTATTATATCAAATCATATGCCTATTAGTCAACAATCATCTTTAAAACGTACATATTCATTTGTTGAAACAAGTCTTTATACACAGGTAAATATTACAAAAAAAAAAAACGAATAACGATAAAATTTCATAGAAAAAAAATTCTCTTCTTGTTATATAGGATGGATATACATGGTGTAATAATCATGTTGATCATTCAGGTCCATTATTAAAACCAACATCACCAACAAAGTTACGTCCATATCGTTCGAGTTCAAAACATCGTCTTAATGTTGATGAACGTTGTTTCAAACATACACATGATTATCATTCATGTCGAATTTATTCTAATGAAGAATTTGGAATAATACATAAACGTCATAATGATTCGTATAATTATCATAAAACACAATGTCGTCCATCATCTCGTAATATAGCAAATCGAACAGCATTTGTATGTCGACGTTGTTCATTATCAGATACAATAAGAACATCAACAACAATGAATATATTTAATTTATGTCATTGTTGTTCAACAGCTACATCGGCTGTAACTATTCATTCACATTTAGAACCTTATCATCATAATACAGCAAAACTATCATCGTCATCATTATCATCATTAACAAGTCGAAAACAGAATGCAATGTCTTCTTATAATTTAGAAAGAAATAGTACATCATCAAATGTATTATCTCATTCAAGTTTTACTATGAATCGTCGTACATCAAATAAAATTAAACAATCAACTATATGGAATCAACAAGAAAAAGCATTTCGACAATTATTTGCCATTGTATTTGGTTTCACATGTTGTTTTTTACCATATTTTATTTTATATATGGTTGTTGCTTTTTGTGGTTCATGTATATCTGAACGTATTGTTACAGGAACAATATGGCTTGGTTATGTTAATTCAACAATAAATCCATTTTTATATGCTTTATCAAATAAACATTTTCGACGAACATTTAATCGTATTTTAAAACGAGATCATAGACGACAATCATATTATAATTAAATATATAAAACAAATCAAAACAAAAACCACATGTTAAATATATCTTTTTTTTTTTGTTTATTTATATATATTAATTCGACAAACAAAATTGATTGTAAAGAGATAATGATTTTAGCATGAAAAAAGGATGAAATTATTCTAAGCAAGTGAATTCGATTTGTAAAAACAAAAAGTATATGAACTTTGTTCTATTATTCTTATCGCTTGAATAAATTATGTTCTTCATAAAAGTATGGTATTCTATTTAAAATCATCAAGATATTTTCTTATTTATTTGCATCGAAAAAAGTATATTGAATTTGTAGGTTAAGAAGTTAAATGCTTTCGTAAATAAAATTTTTCTTTAGTAATACTTATCAATTTCATCCATTACTTATTTATACTTTTTAATATATATAGTGTTTTTTGTTGTTGAGATATTCATATTTATTAAGTAGGATTCCTTTTTAGATTATAAATTAAGAGTTCATAATCTATGAAAAAACAAATCATTGAAAATCTTCTTAAATAAAATCAATAGAAATTGTTCTACTTATATAAATGCACTTTCATATGAAAATAAATCTATGCATTCAATATATAGACAAATAAACGTAAACGGATGTTTAATCAAGTACAAAAATAAATGTCATATTTTCCTACGATGAACATTTAATTCGTTAGACAAAGTGCATATACATAATGAGAGTAACATCAGGTAGAAACTTGTTTATCGTTTAAAACATTTTCTATTCAAGATAAATAATGTAAATATTTATTTTCTATTGTTGTTGTTTTTTATTGTTGAAAATACAATAATGTTTAGCTTTGTTGAAAATATTCATTCGGTGACCAATGATTAAGTCCAGTAATAATCCAACTATCATCTGAAGCATTTTTACTCATATCACGTAAAAATTTATAATTACAAACAATAATATTATCACGCATTTTTTTGACTGTTGATAGCCAATTTGAAAAAGCACTACCAGAACCTTCGAACATTTCTTCTCGATATAATTCAGGATTTTTCAATACATGGAAAATCATTGTTATTTCAACCATACGTGTATCTAGAAATTTTATTAAATTTTATTTAAGAAAAATTATTTAATTTCTTTATTTTACTTGCTTGTTCATCCATAATAAGACCAATAAGATATGGACAAGAAAAAATAATTTCTCCTTCTTCAACAGGAATTTGTTGTTTTTGTTGCGATGATAAATGTTCATAATTTTGTTTAACTTCATTAATAACCTAGATTAGATTTCTGTCTTTTTTTTTGTGTTTTAATGATTAATAAAATTATCTTTTTTTCTTTTGTTTTCAATTTTTTCTACCTCTCGTGTAACAAATCCAGGAAGATCATCAAATTGACCATTACCAATTAACTGTGAAACAACGGTTAAGGCTTGTCGAGCACCATCACAAAATGGTTTTATAGCAAATGTTGAATCAAAATGTCCATTAATAATTAGTCGAGAAAAGAAATTTTTTATGATGAGAAATATATTTGGATAAGCTATATGTGGAAGATCCATGAGCATTAATGGACGATAATGTTGATGTTGATGATGATGATCAGAAGAAATAGAACGAATATAAACTAATGGATAACGTTTAAATGATGAAGATTTACGAAGAGACATCATCAGAAATGATCGACTTAAAATCGAAGCCATTCCGATTTTTAAGACAATTACTAAAAATGATGAATTGAAAAAATAAATAGATTGACAGGACTTATATCGAATCCAATCGAAAAGTCTGTTATGAATCTTTCGTCAACAGATGGCGTACTCTGATAACATCAAGTTCTTGTATTTTTACAATAAAGAATATATACGAAAGATGATCGTAGTTCTTGCAAAAGATCAATCTAACAACTTACTATTCATACAGATGATGGTTCTCAAATACTGTGAAGAACTTGACATGTAAACCTTTGTTTCTCTAGGTCATTATTGAGAAACTATCATTAATGATATGACATAAAGTACAAAGGTTTTCATCGTGCGCATTTCCATTTGCAAATATTTCAAGCTAAAAATAACCTTTTTGAGAATTCAACATTGTGTTTTGTAGAGAATTCTTTATGCAACAAAATTTCTCCTGAACATGCTTAGATTTTTCAAAACAAATAGAGATTAGTTTGTTGTTTATGACGTAAATGAGTACGAATATTGAAATGAAATAACTTTTTGTAACTGAATAAGAAGTTCAAGAACCCACTTCTAAATAGTAAAAATCCTTATTGGAGTTCTTGAGATAAATAGTAAGATAAAATATGTCGTTTTGAGACATGAACAGACGTCTAAACAATCAGATTTTGTGAAATAATTTTTCGAATTTCGATCTAGCTGAATATTTTATCATAGAAATAGTTCATGGTGTCTAGTCGATTCTGATATTCTTGAACTTGTTTGTGATAAGAGTACAGTGTTATTCACTAATTAGTTTTTAGTCAACAATCAGTTGAAAGAGCCAAGATTTTTACAAATATGTCTATGTTCAAAGAACTTATTCAGACAAATTACCATTGTAAAGAATCAAAAACAAATGAAAGATAGATCTGTCTCATTTTGCCTGAAATAGCTCATAGGAATTCCGGAATTTGTCCAATAAGACTTTCGCCAATGGGCAAATATTCAGGGGGATGGATTGGCGAAAGTCGAATATATTTTCATTAATGAAAGTGGAACATTCATATCGTAAGTAATGTACAAGAGCTATGTCTAGCATTACAAAAATGTACCTCAAGTTATACAGTTGGACTTCATTCAAATATGAGGGTGTGGATGTAGATGTACAAAGAACTCCCACCCTATTATACATATCAAATTTCTTACTAAGATATTGATTTGATCACATGTTAAGAATGTCATACTTCACACTGGTTCATAAAAAAACCGTCATCCGTTAGCTATTTCAAATAAAATCTAAAACTATGGATAAACTTATGAATATAACATTGATGAATATCTACTAAGAATTTAGTTGATATCAATCTCTCTATTCAATACTACTGTTCTACTTAAATTCATGAAAGTTCATTGGAAATCCGCCAATTGGCTAAAGTACAGACGTTATATTGGCGAACTTCCGGTAACCCGGCTCAGAATAGCAAAACCTAATGAATAATACTTCTTGATAAAAACCATTGTATGAAGATTTGTTTGAGAACAATTATTCAAACATAAATTATTCGTCATTGGAATGGCATAAAGCGATACCATAAGAAGCCTTCTATCAATGTGAAACTAAGACAATAGTTACATTTTGTAGATTTTTTCATCATAGAAACGAATTATCAGAACTATATCTAATTAAGAATTCTATTGTATTTAATTAATTGAAATGAAGTTTACAAAGAGAAATTTATATGCAAAGTAAGAAGATTGCCAATGAATATAACAAACGATAGTTTACAATTACTTAAACCTTTAGATATAAAACCATTCATTCATAGATAATTTTTAACAGCTTTTGTCCAAATAGCATAAACTTGTTCATTCATATGTAAATTATTTGATATGAATAATTCTGATCGAAGTATTCCATCTGATGTTAACATTTGATTAAAAATATCAATATAATCAACATTATTCATATTTTGAATATCCTCTCGTATAAGATTATTAGTTATATTCATTTGAATGATTTTATCATATCGACTTGGACTGGGTTTTATTGAAATATAAACAATCGGTAATAATGAAAAAAAAATCGACGAATTGTTAATATAAATTGTATATTTGTCGGTGTTTGATTATTTGTTATATCATTTTCACCAGCATAAAGAAGTAATAAACGTGGTTCTAATGGTAAAATAATACGTTTAAATCGTTGCATACATTGTTTAAGTGTTGATCCACCAAAATCTTGATTAATAACATTAATTTTAATATCAAAAAATCTGTTATTGATGTTGACCAAAAACGTATTGATGAACTTCCATTAAAAAAACAATCGATTGCTGTTCAATATTTATTAATGATTTATCAAATTTTACTAATTTATCTTCATATCTTGTATTAGAAAGTATTTCATGCGGTTCTTCATCATCAATATACGTACAATTTAATGTATTACATGTATAACGAATAGATTCAGATGAATTACTTATATGAAATAATGATGTACATGAATCGTTCAATTATCGATTCCAGATGATATCACCATTTGAAATTTGACGATACGAAAAACAAGAACTTCTATTTACAGGAAAAACCTAATCTAAAAATAAATTTTCAGTAAAAATAGTATACAAATGTTTTTTCTTTTTCTTATTATATCAAATATTTGTAAAAATTTGATAAGCTTCTTGATTATCAATTTTATAAATAGCAACGATATAATTTATCTAAATAAACAAAAATATAGAAAAAACAAATAATAGAATACTATCATTATCAAACTCATGTATAATTAAGATGATTTAAGAAATTTATTGTAATTCTACTGTTACTATAAAAAAAAAAACGTTTGACCAAGTTATTTCGAATAATTTTGTTGATTATTATTCCATTCAGATATACACCATAAACCACGAAATTTAATTGGTATTTATTTGTGAATATGATTCTAAATATATCAATGAAATATAATTTATTTACAAATTTGATTTTTTTTCTTACTTTGACATGAAATAATTTGAAAGACTAGAAAAATACAAATACTTCGATTCAGTGCTTTTTTTTGTATGTTGTTAAATGATTATTTATATGTTTGAATTACTCTTATTCAATAGAAATGATATTTATGATTTGATTAATATAATAAATAATCTGTTGAATATTTTAAATACACAAAAAAGTTTACAATATTTTCTTTTTTTTACAAATTTTAAGGTTAAAATATTATTTGAATTTGTAGTTGTCGATAAGAATGAATATCAAAATATATAGAATATCATTCTTATAAGAATTAGTATGTTTTTCTTTGAATTCTACATTTTATGTAAACTTGATTTACTTGTGATAGGTTTTTTTTCCTTTATATGTGAAATATATTCTGTATTTATAATGCTCTTTCATTGAAATAGATTACGGGTTATTTTACTCGTAGTAAACAATAATTTATTGGTACAAAAAACAAAAACACGTATATTCAGCATTTGAATGCTATTGTATAAGTTTGTATCACACTTTTTCCATTTGAAGAGTAGGACTTAAGCTATTATTCAAGAGAAATTAGATATAATTTACATGAAACTTAAAAGAAAATCCTACATTGCTAAAAATAACGAAAAAATTTTATCAAAATTATTTTGTCGACGTGATCAAACATTATGGAATTTCATTCCTTTGTCTTTGATAATCCGTATCAAAAGTGTCAATGAGTTGGGCTCGATCCAACTCATGAATCACTCATCCAATTATATTAGACAAAATTTTTAACATATGAATGAGTTAATTAATTTTCAAAAAACAAATCTCTTAGAAAAATTTTTATAATCGAAAACAAAAAATCATTATGAACAAACTGATATAATTTATTTTAACAAGAATTCACAAAGTAAAATTACATCAAATGTTTTAAATAAAAAGTATTAATGGTGTCTCTCTGAATTTTTCCTTTTATTATATTATCAAAAAATTCGATCTTAAATTTATCTTGTGCAATGCACTATTCTTTTTAAAAACCATCCATATGAATCTCTTCTCGTTTCGAAATATGTATTCTATTGAACAAAATAAATGTAGTCAACACACGTGTATTATCAAATAAACTTCAAAATACAATAATATCATAAATTTTTTTTTTTATTCATGCGCACTCGTGATATCTTTTATCACAGCATTACAAACTGTTATTTCAATTTCAAAGTAAAGTATAAACTTATTTATCACATTAACTCTTCATACACTTATGTCTTTTCCTTATGGTATTGTTTCTCACAAACCAGCAAATTTTAAACCTTCTTCGTACTCCTTCATTTTCTACAGAACTGGTTTAAAGTTCATAGGGTTACGCCTACACCGGTTTTATTCACTATGTTTCTTTATTCGTATTATTTGCCTTCTTACTTCTTTTCTTTCGTTTCTATCTATCGATTATTCATTATGTTCCTTGTAAGCACGTACGAATGTTACAATAAATAGAACATAAATAAAAAAAAAAATTCCATTATTCAACGGAGAACATATGTGTTTGACAGATATCACGATTCAATGATGTTAATATAATACTAGAAAACAAAAAATAATCTTTTTTTTTTTCTTCCTAAAAAAAAATTATATTGGTTTTCATCGATAAAAAAACAACAATTGTAAATATGGCTAAAAGTCAAGGGAGGAAAAAGCGAAAATACCGTACTTCAACGTACTTTCTATACTCCCACTTTAGAAGTACAACGAAGTATTTAGGCTTTAGGATAAGGATGGCTTACACGTGAGCTGGACTCTAGCTAATATACCGTAACATATGTCGATAAGAGATTTGAAATAGCTAAACAGATCTGATGCACAGTTATGGCTTAGTCTGGAAGTACAGAAAATACGCTGAAGTACAGCATTTTCATTTTTTCCATCTTGCTAAAAGTATATTGTTTACATAAGAGTATACAAGCTATATCAATGTTATCATGACACAGAACATGGAAACATACAGTTCTTCTTGTGGTATTATGTATAATTACATTGTCAACGTCTTGTCTTTTTGTTAACTTGTATGATATTTATCGTTCTTCATTGTCAATCTTTATTCTTATTGTACTAATTTTCAAATAAACAAATCAGAATTTTTTTATTATTAAACTTAAATGATAGTTCACTATTGATATATTTTCATAAATATTCTATAACATTCAAAAAAAAAATAACCGATATGAATAACCTTAGTTTAATTTTAAAATAACTATCCTTTATATTACGTTAAAGATTTATTCATCATATTCTATTCAAGAATAGCTTCAACACAACGATCTCTACATGAACATAAAGGACGACAACATTTATGTGTTGTTGGACAATCACCATCCATTTTGCATAGTGGAATTAATTCTTCCGGAAGACAAACACGACGACGACACATAATAGGAATAGGAAAATCATAAGATGGACATTTACCTTCAAAAAAAAAAACAAAAGAACAACTCATAGAAATAATCTTTTATGCATATTAATACAAACATACCTTTGTGTACAAGATGTTCACTACTTTCTTTTGAGCTAGTTTCAATAAAACTACCAACCAAAAGTAAAAATAAAATAGTAAGTGAAGAAGCTAATGTCATGATAAAAAAATGAATCTAATATTCAGTAGTAGTTTCATTTTTCATAAAGTGTCTATATATACATGTATGTAATCAATTTATGGGAAAAACGTCATATGTTTGTACTTTGATATATATTATTTATTCGAAGTCGCAATTTGTTAAAATAAAATTTTATTTTTGTTTTCATTAAAAAAAAAGAAAAAAAAAGAACGAAGAAAGAGAAGAAGAAGAAGAAGAAGATGAATATTTCAAGTTTATTTAGAAATAGAAAAGGTGCAAAAGTAATTATTTGATATATATATATATATGTTTTAATACTAAAAAGAGATGAGGTTTAAAAATTAAATCTATTGTTCTATTTATTGAAATGTTTGTGTTATAATTGCTTTTTCTTCATTATTATTATCAATTAAACGTGTGACCATATGTTGACCTATACCCCATGTATCAATTCTATCAGCAACTAAATTATCATCACGTGAACTTGCTAATTGTGGACTACGTTTTGATAAAATACGAATTGTTTGTCTTGGTCGTAAAGAAAATGTTGTAGGAAATTGATAAACAATTTCAGGTTGTTGATCTATTTTACGACGAATTGTCCAATTTTGAAATGATTGATCATTACCACTATATTTTTCATTAACTAATACAACTGAATCAGTTTCTAAATCAACAGAATCGAATGATATTGGACCTACAAGAAAAAAAAAAATTTAAAACATTTTTTTTTTCTTTTATTTAAGATTTATAACCTCGTGCTGTTTTTTGTACGGCCATTTTTTTTGTTTCTAAATTTTTACGATTTCCATCAGGATTTTGAAATAATGATGATGGTACAGTTGATAATAAACCTGATGATAATGATAAATTATGTGTTTGTGGTTCTTGTTCTATTCGATTTAAATGTTGTTCTTCAGCAGCTAATAAACCTCTATATGTTGATAATTCAAAACGAAGTGATACATTATTTTGTAAAATAGTATCAACAATATTTTGTTTATCATCAATTTGTTCTCGTATTAATAATAGGTCTCTTTCATATGAATCTTTTTCACGTAAATGTTCATTTTGAATTTTTTCAAAATCATCAATAATAGCATCTAAATGTGTTTGTAAATTATTATTTTGTTGTCTTAATTCTAATAATTCATTTTGACCATCACGTAATGATGTTGTTAAATGTACTGTATCCATTAATTCAATAGTACCTTCACTTGCTAATAAACGTTTACGTTCATTTTCAGCTTCAATTTCTTCACGTACTTGTTCAGTTTTAATTCGATAATATTCTTCTAATTCATTTGTTTGTGTTTGAAAAAGTACTTCAAAATCTCGTCGTATATCAGATATAGCATAAGCTAATTCTGTACGATAAAATGCTGATACATCATGTATAGGTGTATCTATATAAACAAATTAAAAACTTTATATTTATATATTTATTTATTTATTTAAATAATGATATTCTTACTAAGAGAAAGTAATTCTTCTCGTTGTACTTGATAAAGAGCACTTTGAAAAGCAAGATGTTCTTGTAATGTTTGTAATTCATTTTCAATCATAAGACGTTCTAATTGTTCATTATCTAATTCATTTTTTAAACCATCAACATCTTTAAGTAAACTATTCATAAGATTTTTAAGATTTTCTAAATCAAGAAAAGTTTTATTATATAAATTTTTTAATTGTTCAAAACCAATATATGATGCTTCTAATTCTTGTTTAAGTATATTTAATTTATATGTATCATAACTACCATCAATTGATGCTATTTGTTGTTGTAAATGCCATATATCAAAATCATGTCGTTTTAATTGAAGTTCTTGAAGAGCTTGATCACGTATAGCATTATCAAGTTCACCACGAAGTGCTTGTAATTGTGGACCATAAGCAGCTTGTAATTGACTCATATCTCCACCCCATGCTTCTTTTAAATTTTGTAATTCAGCTGATAATCGTTGATTAAAATCTTCTAAATATTGAACACGATCCAAATACACAGCAAATTTAGCATTTAAATCTTGTAATTCACGTTTTTCATCATCATGTTGTTTAGCTATAGCTGTTATAGCAGCAGCAGTTGATGATGGAGTATTTCCTGTATTATTATCACCTACTTCTCTTAAACCACGTTCGACTAATGTTCGACGAATTACAGTTGAATCATCGAGTGGTTGTGATCTTGAAGATGTATTAATATTTCGTGTTTCATCTCTTTCAAAACCACGACGATTAGTAAGATTTTCTCGATTTTTGTTGCTCATTATGTTGATTCTTTGTCTAACAGCTTACACTAATTTTTAAAAAAAATGTAAGTTTGTTCTTTTACAACAAACAAACAACGAATATTGTTGATGATAATGATGATGTAGGTTTTATACGGGCAATTATATATGTACGAAGAAAAAAAATAAGAAAAAAAAAAAAATCAATGATAATATGCCTCTTGTCTATATATATATTTTTTTGCGGGGTGCGAGCACGTATACCGCAGCTCTTCTAGCAGTTATTATTCTAATCAGCTGAAATATCTTCCTTCTTCTTATTCTCTATCTATCTTTTTTTTTCTTTCTCTGTCTGACTGTATATAGTGATAGTCTTGTCCAATCGATAAGTTGCGTCTTTGAAATGCAAAAGAGCGTGCGAGAATATTTACACAGCAATGAGGTTTATTTCTATCATATATCTTTTTCTTTCGACACATACACAGTCACGCATCAATGATCTTTTCGTTTCATGATATCTTTTTATATTAGATACTTCATTAAAAAGATAGAAAAAAAAAAAACTGACTCTATTTTCTCAATATCAAACACAAAGACCTTACTCATCTTGATTTTATCAATTGAACAATGATTAATGTCATAGTCATCGTATGACAGAAAGGTTTTTTATCACTCTTGTTTTAAAAATAAAATAAAATAAAATATGAAAGTTCAAGCAATTTTTTTTTAATTAACTGGAATATGAATTCAATTAGTTATTGAAGTTTAATTATCATTTACAAGGTCAACAAAACAAAAAAAAAATGAAGATGTTTTGATATGAAGGTGGTATTGATTGATTATTTCAGATATCTATTTATTATCAGTCGTTAACGGTACAAATAAAGGTCATCTTGTAGAAAGAAAAATAATAAGTGAAATCAATGAAAAAAATCAACAATACTGTCTTTAATGTCATTTGTATCATTCAATGTCTAGTTGTATTCTATTGTTAATTAAAATAATCATTCATAAGATATATGATATTCATTAGAGTTCATGTTCATGCTTCTATACATATTTGGAAATACCATATAATTATTTATCTAAATGTTCTATAAATATCAACATGACGTGTTTGTGAATTTTGCATATGGAAATATGAGCGTAGGATATATTAGATATCGATTCTTTAGAATTCATATCATTTGATATAGAGAATTCTATGAAGGTCAAATACTAATACATGAATTTCTGCAAACCAAAAAAAAAACAAATATCAGCTATTGTAATCTCGTTTTCATCAATGGATAAAAATCAGCATAAAACAATCGTAATTTAGATGATTATCATATCTGATGTCTGAGCAATTTTTAAGCTTAATTGCTTCACTAGAACTTTCTCTTTGAGTGTTACATCATCCAATAACTAGTCTATAACATTTATGATAACAGTCAATCAAAGTCGAAAATAATAGAACGAATTAGACTGAAGACAAATAAATATAAATTGAAATTTGTGTTGTAAACCCCCCCCCTACAATAAAAGACCCCGGGTCTTCTATTATGGTCCAGCGAACTTTTGTAAATTTTGTAAATTTTTGCTGGTGAAAAAATGAAATTTCTATGACGTGACTCTTCCGGAGGGGTCTTCTAAAACGGGGGGTCTTCTAATATGGGGGGCTCTTTTATTATGAGGGGGGGTTTATACTTTGTAAGAATATAGTTTCAATATTGATATATTCCACAGTTCATCAAATTATCAAAAACAAAAAAAATTTCCTCCTTGTTTTGAAAAGTTTCTCTTTCATTTAAAACAACTCCAAACATCTTCGTCATAGTAAATAATAACTTCTTGTTTTTGTTTCGTAAAGAGTTGTCCACATAAATAATTCGTATGTTTCATTATTTATCCAAAATATCCTATGTTCGAAACTCTTCTTTAAGAAATGTTTATAAAAAAAACATTAACTAATATCTAGATTAAACTTTTCATCTAGTAAACTTAATTCAAAATAAAATATAACTTTAATCTTTAGTATAGATTGTCATAGGTTTGTATTGAACGAAGAAAAATCATTAATAAAAAAACAAAAATACAGATTGAGACAACGGTTATTTGCAATTTAAATTATGTTTTCATCAAGTATCATTATATATCGAAAATATTGATTGTTAAACGAAAGAAAATCATGTTTCATAATTTCAAATGCAAAAAAAAGAAAAAACAAAAATGTCTATTCAAGATAGAAGTATTGATCTATTTTCTTTTTGAAAAGTTTTTCTTATCATACATTGAATATACTATTCATTTCATATCGTCGTTTATCAAAATGTGATATGTCTTTTTTTTTAGAATAGAAATCTATAGCCCTTAACTTGTCAAGCAATAACCAATTGATATATGATATTTCGCTTGCTTTAAATTATTGTTTAAGTTCGTTTTTTTTTCTATCCTGTAATACAATACTTGTCAATAATAAATATTTATTTCATATTTCTATCATAACATATCAGTTAGTGAAAGTAATGTTTTTTCTTCTTATTGTATTTACATCGATTATACACGTGATTAACGATAGCTATTCATTGAATAATAATAATAATAACCTGTATTCATATCCATTTATTTATATAAAGAATACATTTTGTCTGTGTGCATTGAATCGAATTATTTGGCGTAAAATAAAAATGTCTATGAGTAAGTTTAAAACAACGAAACAAATTTGAACATTTAATTGTGTTATAAATTTATTAGTAGACACTAGAAGTTCTTCTACTAGATAAAAATTATCGAAATTTAATTTTTTTTTTGTCTAATATTTTTACTATAAACAAAAGACTCGATAGACTCTCATTGCAACTATTTATCTCAAGTTCATCAAGGCGAATGCATTGAATATAGAATCGAAGTACTGTTTTTTCGATTCACTATTATGTTGAAATGTTAATACCATTTTTTTTATCGATAATGAAAACTCCATATGTCTTTACTGTGTCATAGAATAGAGAATTCTAATCTGTTGTGATTCAAAGACATGTAGAGTTGTTTTTGTTTATCTAGAATGACCTTTACTAAACAGATTTTTGCTATTATTTATGGCTATCATCATGAAATTTTCAGAGAAAATTTGATGAAATGACAGAACTTATTGAAGAAAATATCACGATTAACGATTGATAATGTATCGGAATTATCAGTTACATTTTGACGAATCTTATTAAATCTTATGCTAAGAATATCCAAAGATAACGATATATATAAAACAGACTAATATTTATTTACCATGAAATTTTTATGGATGATAAAGACATCAATGACTTCTCTAACGAGCAATCAAATACTGTGAGATATGTTAGTAATGCTGAAATATTCTTATCTAAAGCAAAAAAAAAAAAGAAAATCTTCATTGACCTTCTAGATCTTACGCATGAAGACCAATCAGGATTTGTCATGCTCTTTTCTTTGATGGCTTAAAATATGAGATTGTAAAATTCATGTTTTAGATAATTTTTTATCTTTGTAGTAAAACTTTTAATAACTATTGTGTATGATTTTTTGTTTTCTTTTTAAGTACGCGAATGTTTTCAATCCATCATACATACAATTGGTTCAAAAACTTTTCGTGTATTTTCTATGTTTGTTCTTACGATTGCAACGGCTTTTTTTGAAATTGTTTATGGTATTAAAGCACGTTCAAATTCTTTAATTGCTGATGGATTATATTCATTTGCTGAAGGTCTTTGTTTAATTGGTGTTCTTGTTGTTCTTCATTATGCACGTGATGTTAAGCATCATGCTAAAAAAAATACATTTGGTTATGAACGATTAGAATTATTATTTGGTCTTATACAAGAAGTATTTCTTGTATCAATATCATTAGGTATTATAGTTGATGCTCTTAATCATTTAATTCATCCTATGCATGTACATGATCCAAAATTAGTTATTATTCTTGGTACAGGTGGTATGATTATTGGTATACTTGGTATAGTTATGTTTTGGGGTTATCATCATGATCATAATATAGCAAAAGAAATATCTGATAAGAAAAAAGGAGATTTTTTAGTATGGACAAAAAAACATTCGAAAGAAAAACGTGCAAATGCCCGTGGATCTCGTCAAAATACAATTGTTGAAGATCCATTAGTAGATAAACAACAAAATGTACAAACTACCGATGAATTAAACAAAACTGGTAGTATTGATGTAGATCCTCAAGATGTTCAGACAGATACATCCATTCTCAATACTTTCACTTATGAAAATGTTCAAATAGCTGAAACAAGAGTCTATGCTACTTTACATGCTCTATGTTTACATTCATGGGAAAGTTTTTTTTGCTTTTTTTTTTTATTCGAAGAACAAAAAATTTAATGGTATTGTTTGATATTTCTTATTATTTAGGTTGTTTTATTAGAATCAATCATTGTTGTTGTATCGGGTTTGATGTTTCGTTTTATTCCACATACAGATCCAATTACAGGAAAAGAAATTAACAGTTGGTTAAAATATGTTGATCCAATATTAACACTTGTGATGGTTGTTATTGTTGCTGTTAATGCAATTCCTGTTATACTTTCTATAAGTAAAGTATTAATTGAAAATGTTCCAGGTGGTATTGATACACGAGAATTAATGGATGAAATTGTTACAGCTATACCAGCAATTAAAAGTATACATAGTCTTCATATTTGGAGGTAAGAAATAAAAACTAAACAGAACTTTTTTTTTTTTTAAGAAAATAAATAAAAGTATTCAAAAAAAAAAAACAAATTTGTTGTTAACTATTTTAGAGCAACATCTAAAGATATTTATGCAACATTACATGTTGTATGTGACGAAGATGTTAAGTTAAGTACATGTACAAATATATATGGTAGACGTATACAAAAAATTTTAAAAGGTTATTGTATTGCGTATTTTACATTACAATATGAATATATACCATCAAGTCAATCTAATGAAATAGCTGTTTATCCTTGTGTTCATGGACTTCATAGAAAACGTCGTGGTCATAATTATGATGAACCTATGACAAAATTAGCTAAAGAAGCAATACTTCATATTGGAGAGTGATTAAAAATATTTAACTCTTTGAAATAAATAAGAACATTGAACGATACGAAAAAAAAAATATCTATGTAGTTTTATCAGAATTTTTTTTTTTTTGTTACCAAGAACAGTTAAAAATCATATATTTTCATACGATATGGAATTATTTAAAATAAAACAGTTTAGTTGCTTATTAATGCATGCAAATGATTGTAAAAATAACAATGGAAATATGTAACTAGTCAAGTGTTTAATCAGATAGAAGGTAGCTCTATGATGCTAGTGTAAACAAACTCAACGAATATTGTCTTCTACGCTAATTTGATCAAATCGAAGTAAATTATCTTCTCTGCACTGAAAAATCCTAGATGTTTTATTGTGTCCCATTTATTTCCATCATTTTCAATGAAAAGAATTTTCTAGAAAACCAAAAATGATTTTGAGGAGCTCAAGATCTTGAAAATCAGGCCTATTTTAATGTAAATATACGAATTAAAGTTCCGATTTTTTGAGTAACTAATTAATGAAAGGAATGCTCATTTATGACGTCCAGCGCATTTGTTCTTTCATGCGGTCTTCTATTGTGGAAAAGAGTAGCTAGATGAAAACATATCTATGAACATTTAGCTAGTTTCCTGTTCAAAGTAGAGTACTGGGGAACAGTCCAGAATCTCGAAAAATTCCGTTTGCCCGTTCCATGGGACAATTTGGATTGTCCCGATCATTTTTCGAGACGGGATTCAGGACACGAGAGAGTTTGTCCCGCAAATCTCTAGTTCGAAGAGAAAACAGAATCTGTATGTCATGCGACTTTTTTTGCACATGAACAAAGAACTTTTAGTTAATTTCATAGTAAGATCCTAACTTGTATGACAGTTGAATGTGTAAAATCTCGTCTACAAGTAGCCAACAGATCAATTAGATTAGCAGTACCATCAGCGTCAAGACTGCTCAAACTAGAATGAAGTCATAGTTAATAGTGTTCGCGAGTACTATGAATCTTGTAACTCGAGAACACAATGGCCTTTTAAGTTATTCAACTACGACTGTCAGACTGCTCAAAATTTGAATTGTACTGTAAGATACTCCTTGAAATTCTAAATAAAATAGTGTTTCGTTATTCAAGAGACATACACATTTGAAAGGAAAATTTTTCATGCAAAAATTAAAATACTTAAAAAAGACCATTCTCTGACACATTTATATCAATGGTTCTTTTCCATAGAGGAGTAATCTAAAGATTATTATTATTTAGCTTCAATTTTCTATTTCATTGTATAATGATGAACTGTTCAAAATGCATGGCTAACTTTTGAAAAGGTGAATTCCGATAATACATTTAGAATAAAATACTGCCAGATATTACTTTCAAGTCTGTTTTACCTGAATGACACCATGTAGATGTTCAAAACGACCTTGAAAGTATAGAGCAAAATATTCTCTACCGAATAGGCTTATAATAATGTTTTTGAACATTGCTCCCATTGTTCAAAACAAGAAAAGCAAAGTTTCGTATTTTTTATCTTGCTTTCTTATAACACAGATTTTCTGTGCTCTTTTCTTCATCTTGACTAAATCAATGGTTAACTCTACTTTGATGAAAAAGAAAAATTTCGTCTTACTAAAATGTTAAAGCTATATAAATTATTGCTGACTACAGTGGAGTTGTGCTTTTGAGCATCTGGTACCTGAGTTATGAACGTCTTATTGAATTTGCAATCGATCTTTAGGTATTTATTAAAAATCAAATAAAAAGGATTTCGATCTGAAATTTTTCATACCAACAGGTCGAATGACTATTAGAATATCCTGAAAATTTCAGCTGAAAGGATTATCTTTTTCTCAAGATGTTGAATTTTTGATGTAAACTTGATTTTCATGAGAAACGACTATATTTTGGAACTTTAATATCTGATCAAAGGAACGTTTTTTTGTTCGGTTGAAAGTGTCAAAATATTTCTGAAGACATCCGACGTATCTATGGGTAAAATTTCAGGATGAAATAGCGTTATTTGATTTTTTCGTGAATATTTAAAGTTATAGCAAATACTTAGTGAAAATGTTCACAACTCGGGTTCAGAGGCTCATGGACATGACTCTTTGTAGAATCTTTCTAATCTTACCGAGATCTTCTTGTGAATCCAACATCAATTCAAATAATGAATATCGATTCGTACAGTTCCTTCGTAAATTAAAGATAAAGGATTCAATAAATTTTTTTCGTTTTCACTATTGTTATTCAGAAGAAAAAACGTTTTCTCCAAAGAGCCAAGGTGAAATGCAGTAAGAAACTAGAATCAATATATTAGCTAGAATCATGCAAGTTATATGTGTATTATTTGTTCGTTCCAAAAGCATATGATAAATTGGTAAAAAGATCTGATGTATTAATCAGACTATCATTGTATCCATATCATGCATGTATTTGTTTTTTTTATCGATGCAACAGCAGACAATCAATCAACATTGAATTCAAGGTTGTTTTTTTCTGCCTATATAAATTAAAAAAAACCTCCTAATATACAAGCCAAGCTGGCAGCTAATTCAGATATTGAAGCACTGATCTGAGATATCCGATGGGTTCATAACATTATTGATTGTTCATTCAATGTTAACTCCTCGTCCTATCGAAAAGTACCAGTCGAAGGAGTTCGATCTGGAATTTCAATGTCCTCGAATTACCTATTCCTGATGAACTTCGATAGATGAAATTCGTAGAGTTATTGATTTGCATATAATACTTTAGTAGGTTTTAACATTAGAACAACCAGGAGAATATATGAATAAAATCAGCAAAAATCGAATATGTACATCGTCGATTTGATTTTGATACATTATAAGGATTCTTTGTTTTTTTTTGAATAAATAAGTTTTGTTTTTCATGAATATATGTAGAAAATAATAGCTCGTTTGCTTAATATTTAATTAAAATTAATTATGTAATGAATTATAATGTAATTAGCGAATAATTTTCTAAGCTTACTATATTTTCAACGTGATCGTACTTCAAAAATTTGCCTTTCCAAAATTGATTTCTTCATATGTCTGTCTTAGTCGAGAAGTCATCTCGCAAACCCCATGAATGATATGTAACATTTAAAATTCTTTTTTCTTTGACTTCTTATTCGGTTACAAAAAAGAATTTCCATATCTATATTCACAGTCAACTACGTCTCTAACAACGAATAAATTCAATTTAAGTATGTTCAGGAAAAACTTTGCGTACACATTTTGTAGTTCGAAAAGTTCTCTACAAAAAAAAATATATAACTTAGCTTTCAAACATACTGTTTGAAGTTGCACAATTTGTAAATGAAAACACGCATATTAAAAATGTTTATTCTATTTTGGATTGCGTAGGTAATGCAGAGCTTTCGATAATAACTTGATGAAGTCAGTGTATTTAGAGTAAATCAACATTATCGCCAAATATACTATTTTCGAATATAACAGCAGTACGAAAAGAATGATATTGGTAAATAGTGCTCGATACAGATTCAATTTCTACTTGCTATTTTCATACATCAAACAGTCTTAGAATGTCATTACTTCAAAAAAATGTCGCTGCACACTTAGTTAGGACACGTGAATTTTCTTTTGAGAGGAGAAGATTTTTCGTTTGATTTGTTTTTTGTGATACGTAGAACGTTCAAAAAGTATCCGAACTGATTTTATTTAAAAACGATAAGAAGCGCTGGTGTCTTTGTTTTATTGTCTGTATGTAGTTCATAGAGTCCTCTATCCATAGACATGATAAGCTCTGTTGAATGAAATGTAGATATAAGAATATAGAAATTTCATTTGAGATCACTATTTATACACTGACAAAAAAAAAAAAATTTCGAGTATCACTCAGTGATAAATTTCTTGTTTTATAAGATTATTACTCATCTAATATTTATGAAAGTATAGTGGCAGATTATAACGATCGATTCGCTATTACTTATTGCAGCTTCTGAATAGGATCATTATTTAAAGATGGATTACCACAAATGGATAGTAATCTAAATGTAAATAGCATAACCATTAAAGTTTGTAGAATCCTAGTAATCGAAGATAGTCAAAGCGTCCATGAGTAAATAATGGACATCGTTCACATTTCAAATGTACAGTATACAACATTTTATTTGATCAATTATATATGACCAAAGTCAGTTCAAGAAAAAAAGCACATTCTCTTACATAATGTTAATGATGTATCGACCACATCTAACACTACTATTGATAGTTATTTATTCTCCTTTGAAACGACGAGCCCATTCAAATATCGTAGTATGTGATAGAGCATTACCACTGTAAACTGTCACCATACATTCATAAATGTTGGATGGAAACTCGCCTTAAAAAACATCAAACTTTGCTTAGATTTTTAATTTTTGTCAGTGTATATACAATGGTCTCAAATATGTTTCTATATTTTTATATATGTGTAGTTCAACAGAGCTTATCATGTCTATGGATAGAGGAGTCCATGAACTACACAGACAATAAAACAAAGACAGTAACGCTTCCTATTGTTGTTAAATAAAATCAGTCCGGATACTTTTTGAACGATCCATGTATTACTCTACTGTATGAGAAAACAAAAATTGGTTTCTTCCAATAGGTGACGTTATAAGTTTAGTATTTTATACTGTTGTTCTGATTTCTCAGAAACTAAAACAAATGGAAACTTGATTTTGTTTTACAGAAGTAAATGATCATCATTCAACCAATAAAAGAAAAAAAAAATTATTAAAATCGGTTGAGTACAACTCGACTTCTAGGCATTTTTGTTTTCGACATACAATCACTGTTCTCTTCCCTCATACACATTTCATCATTAGTATGGAGAATCCAACTGATACGAATAAATTGTCATATCAAATTAAAATTTTCAAGCTTCATTTCTATTATTAAATGTTTAGATATTTGTATGTTTTTATTTTACATAACGTATAATACCAGCTTATGTTTGTTGTTTTTTCTTAATATAAAAAAAGACGATATTATGTGTCACAATAGAAAAATACATAAAACGTTTT